CCTCCGAGCAGGATCACTGCTCTCGCGACTCCACTCTGGACGGCCAATGAAGGCAAGCCAGAGGTGAGAGACCTGTTCCTTGTCATCGTTCACTCCAGCCAGCCAATTAAGGCAAGCCGGAGAAGAAGGAACGGTGACTTCTCCCTGGAGCACTCGGAATGATGGTAGCCCGCGGGATCGCTAATGCCCGTCACCTCGCCTCAAGGTGCCCTGCGGGCTTCCTCAAGGTGCCCTGCGGGCTTCATATTATTATTATTATTATTATTTATAACAAATTGTTTTAAGATGGATTTCCTATATCAAATATTACCATTAACATAGTACAAGTTCAGTGATATTATATGGCACCAGGTTGCCGACGTCCCTGCGAGTGATGCGGCTGGGGTCGCGGGCCCGCCTGGCCGCCGAGCTACAGCCGCGCAGTGAACTGACTCTCGCCGCGCACTGCGGCACTCCGGGGGAACTAGCTGCGCTCTATGATTCCATGGTGAGATATAAACATAGTCACTTATTGTTACTAACATAGACATTGGTATTAGCGCTGTTGGGGTTTTGTTTTTTTAACTGCTGCCAACTCTAACATTACAACAACATGCTTTCTAGAAGATTGGCTATGGGCCGAGATTTCCAACGCCAGATAAATTTAAACTGAGGAATAGCTTTCAATATTTGACAATTAGTTCCATACTAAAAACATACTATTTTATTCTACAGTTAGGAATTAACTGATAAATGAAAAATCGGTCCTAAGTAGGTTAGGGGCCGTTGAAATATTACGTAATCAGATTTTTTTACAATTAATAACCCCTCCACCCCCCTTGTCAGCAAAAGTAAGCAAAGATCTTACCCCCCCTTTCCTTTTCCCCCTTTGCTTACGTAAACATTTTAAATTGTATCTTTTTTATATTGTAATTTTAACATTCTCTTAGATACCATAATTTCTAATTCTTACTTGCAATTTGTAATTTCAATATGAGCGTTGCCATTCGTGTAAAAAAGTAAATAACTACCGATGACGTAATCATCATCTAGACTCTCCTACCCCCATATCATCCAAAACAAAGATCCCCCACCTTGAACGAACCCCTTAAGAGAATAAGTACATATTATTATAATGCTATTCTTTGTTGCAGGAAGTAGTTGGAGTGACATGTTTGGGCGCCGCGCACGCAATGTTAGCACGAACTACTTTTGATCTCTGCATAGTTGATGAAGCGACACAGGTAACACTGTCAACATATTATTAAAATGTGTTGAAGGAAATACAACTGTATTAGCTGAAGCTAAAAGTTGTAAATCCTATTTCTGTATTTCAGGTGTTACAGTGTACCGTGTTGCGACCATTGTTCGCAGCGAAGAAGTTCGTTCTAGTGGGAGATCCTGAACAGTTACCGCCGGTAGTGAGGAGTAGAGCCGCGAGGTATTCTTCTGAATAATAAGCAATATCATGAACAGATCACAACATTAACAATACAAAAATTTAATTTGGTCAAAACACTATAATTTATATAAGCACTTGTAATTGTGACGTGTTTTCATTGCGAAAAGCCGCCTTTGAGTTTAGTGTCTAAACTTTAAATTTTTACAGTTTTGTACTTTCTTATTTCTAATGCTACTTCTACTACTTTATTTTAAAAACAATTTGACTTTATTTTTTATTCTAGGCGCCTAGGCATGGAGGAGAGCTTGTTCCACAGACTGATGTGTGAAGAAGCGACGTCGACTTTACAACTCCAGTACCGTATGAACCAAGCGCTAGCGGACGTCGCCAACCGAGTGGCGTACGACAACCGTCTTCAGTGTGCCGACAGTAATATTGCGCAAGCCCGACTTACTATTGATGTACAGGTAAAGGACATTTGAATGTGGCTAAACGTATAAGCGCTCTTTAGAGAGCTACCAGTGAGCGAGATGCTAGTGTCAAAAAGTATGGCGACCCCTCGCGTCCGGGCCTAGTGCAGGCCATGATGCGGAGCGAGGGGGACTGGGATGCCGTCTCCTACTTTTGCGAAGCAGTCATGCTAGCTAAGGAGGAGGCGGGACGCGTGAGGCAGCGAAGCGCTGCCTCCTCGCAACCCAGCCATCGCGAAGGACACACCGGGCGTCGGGGATCGCGGGACGATGTCCGGCCACCGTAAGCGCGGGCCTGCGGACGGCGAGCATGGGTGGCTCCCCGTCCGACCAGAAACAGACCCGAGCGTACGGCGCCGAGCGTTCCGCGCGCGCCTCAAAGAGCCATCAGATCACCACAGATGGGGCCCAATAGGGCCGATGCCGATTCGGAGTCGCGGAGAACCTAACAGGTAACCGGGGCTCCGGCTTGACGTGCAGGAGAAGGAACGGGGTGGTTTTTAGCTAGTAAGAGTCTGGCACTCCCTTCCGCCTCACCCAGGCGGGAGCAGTCATTCGATGATTTTCCCCCCGTAAAAAAAAAGTGTCAAAAAGTAAAGAATACCATTAAAATAATTACACCAATCATTCTTGATAAAATGATAGTATGGAAAAAGACAGTTTTATGAGATAGTGTATACTGAAAATGTTAATCATTGCAGTTCTACTTTATTTTCAGAAAATACCTCAATTGTCAATATCTCCGTGGTTGTCAATGGCTTGCAGTCCCGAGCCACAATACGCAGCGTTGTTCCTAGATGTGATGTGCCATAATATTGAAGACGCCCCCGACGCTCCTAATAAGAACTCCTGTTCAAACCCTATAGAAGCCTGCGTCGTTATAGCGTTGGTGGAAGCTTTGAAAGAGGTATGTTAATTTTTTTTTAGTTTTTCTCAATACAATTTGACGTATCGAGACGGCTGTTGAATTCCTACCTAATCTTTACGCAATAAATATGCGTTTTATTGTAAAAAGTCAAAATTCGTGAATTTTGTGTTACATCTTTTTATTTTTAAGGGTGTGACATGGTCAGAAACATAAATAATACACCTAAAACATATTTAAGTAATCACACTATCAATACAAAATAAATTCGTACAGTAGCTTTGAATTTATCGCATGGGCTCCGGCTCGATGTGCAGGAGTAGGAACGGTTTTTAGTTAGTAAGATTCTGACACTCCCTCCCTCACCCAGGCGGGAGCAAACATTCGACGAATAATATCTCGTCCTAAAAAAAATCGCATTTGTATTGACAGATACGAACGGGAACTTTTTTATAATAATGTGAAATGAAATATTCTTATCTCTTTTTTCATCACAGGGTAATGTCAAGCCTTCAGACATAGGTGTAATAGCTCCGTACCGTGACCAAGTGTCACTGTTGCGCCGCTCCCTCCAACACCTCGCTGTAGAGGTCAGCACTGTCGACCAGTTCCAGGGAAGGGACAAACCGGTCATCATATACTCGTGTACGAAACGTTCCGGCAAACATGATGATAAGAAGGTTAAGGTAAGCTTTGCACAGGGTCATGAAATAAGTTGTTAAAATATTAACTGTTTAAACTATTCATTTTTTTTTTTAATATTATAGATTATTTCTCCACGGACTCTAGGTCCGTGCCCTTGTCATACAGTTTTTTAATTATAATACATCTAGTAAATTTTTATAAAGTAAAGAGGGAACCTAGTTACACACTACAATTAACTACATCTATAATTATTACCAAAAGTATAGGTTACATAATAATTAGGCACTATTTATTTATTTCTATTTCAAAGGCTTTATGAAACCAGCCCACCAACAAGATGGGAGAGCCAACCTGACCCAGCAGAAGGCACCCGTTCACGAGTATGACGTGTGTGTCAGCAATTGGTCCGGTCAACCTTTTTATTGGGAACGGAACAACCCAACACACAGCGCCACCGACTGTAGGACATTTATGTGTGCATGACGCCTCAACCCTTGCCACGTGGGCCGATTCCAATAAAGCGTACAATAGTCCAAAGTTAATTGTTTATTTATTTCTACAAAAAAAAAAACTATTCATATTAAAAGTGTACAATTCTGTGAACCTTCAGCTATTTCTTTTTCTTAAATATAAATCCATTTTCATAAAACTTTTGTGTTACAGGAAGGTGAGGTCCTCAACGACCAGCGCCGTCTAGCCGTAAGTGTAACAAGAGCAAAGCACAAACTCTTAGTAGTTGGCAACTCCATAGCTTTGCGACGGTATGCGCCGCTACAGAAACTCATACAAACGTGCACCTCTACCCAACTAGACACAAATATTGTAAACAAATTATGTAATAAATATAAAATGTATGTATCCTGACAGTAAAGAAAACTGTAAGTAATAAATTGTAATGTAATCGTGCCTTAATTTTTAATGATTGTGAATCTCAATTTTAAGTTACATATCATGGTTATTTTTATTTTATTAAATGTATTAATTAATTCTTGAACCGTGTTTATATTTCATATGCAATGTTTGGTTGTGAACCTATTTTAACTGTATACTTGTAGTATGGCTCCTAAATGCAGTTCCGTCGGCAATGCCGTCGCGTTTATGCCGAGCGGCTATGCCGCCAGCAATAAATAAATATTATTATTCCATGCCCGATTCGGCTACGGCGACCGTTTCACGACTACTGGCATTTACCATGGGTGCTCATCTCTGAGCCACCGGTAACACAAGCCACGCAAAGCCATCAAGCAGCATTCCGGTTGTTATAGTCACATAGACCGTTAGTCAACGAACTGACACCGCATAACTCGACGGCACACCCCAAGGGCTCCTTTGTGCGGCAAAGCTGCACGACGGCGACTTGCCTGCCGGGGACTGTGTCTATATCAACGTCCTTCCTTGGTCTATACTTATTATACTCTTTGCACTGTGTGTAGGAACCTTTAAACAGACGAGGAGACGATAACTGTGTATAAGACCCAAAAGAAAATTTTGAATCTGCAGATGATTTGTAGAGAAGTCTTCTTTCAAAATCGACTAAAGTAAGTAAACTATGGTGATCCAACTAAATTGAACGCATCTTTTTTGTCCTTGTAGTACCCAGACTGCTAATATGTCAATGTCAAACAGCTGATAACATGAAATAGATAAAAAATATTAGTTCGTCAGTGTTATTAGCCGGCATTAGACCTGTTATTTTTTATTGTGATTTTAATAGCGCATCACTCTATCAGTGTGATGTAATAAAGGTCTTGAACTGTCGTTCATTCACCAACATATCAGTTAAAAAAAATAAAATTTATTCAATCGGAGGGGTTAGTAGAGGTAAACAGTTTCTAATAGATTATATTGTTATTTTTTTGTTCTAATAAACATCCATAAGTATAAGTACCGACTATTTAACCTTGTATTTATATACTTGATTCGAAAGTTGCTTGATTCCACATATCTAACTGCAACAAATATTTGTTTTTTGATGACTATCTGCAGAACATATTTTATTTTATTACTTAAAAATCACTTCTAGATCTTCAAGATGGTGAAAGCGGTGGCAGTAATCACCATCAGCGACACTTGTTTCAAAGACAACTCTAAAGACACGTCGGGACCAGCATTGGCAGACTATGTCAGGGAATTATTCCCTGAGGCGAATCTCCATACAATCATCATTCCTGATGAAAAGGAAATCATTGAGAGGGAGCTCAAATACTTTTGTGAAACAAATCTAGATCTGGTGTTGACCACAGGAGGGACAGGGCTGACCCCTAGAGATGTGACCCCTGAGGCAACAAAAGCTATCATACAGAGAGAAGTGCCAGGAATCACTACTGCAATAACTCTAGCAAGTTTGAAGAAGACACCCATGGCCCAACTATCTAGGGCCGTTGCTGGAGTCAGAGAGAAAACCCTAATCATTAATTTCCCTGGCAGTAAGAAGGCAGTAACTGAATGCTTTGAGGTAGTGAAGCCTATCCTACCTCACGCCATTTCCTTGATACACAATGAAGTGGTTGAAGTCAGCTATATTCACAACTCTATGCAGTTCAACCACACTTGTAAGCACAGCAGTAATGTAGATATATCTAAGGTGGCTCTAAGACCTAGGGAGTCTCCATTCCCCATGGTGGAAATGTCAGAAGCCTGGAAGATGGTTGATGATGTGATGTCTGAGTGGACGGAGAGGCTGGAGATAGTGACCATTGAAGAGGGACTCGGCAGAGTTGTGGCACAAACTCTTCATGCTAAGGAACCTATGCCACCATTCCCTGCATCTGTTAAAGATGGTAAGTATATTCTAGTTTTATATGCTGTTGACAACAAAAAGACTGCTAAAACATTTACCTACATATTATTAAGTTCAATCAAACTCATTGCCCAAATAAACCCCATTTAGCACAGTCATTGTGTTTGTATAGTTTGAAGTATCAGTAAACACAGTATTAAAACGAAATTAATGATCAATAGTAGTTGGATGGAAAGCAATTTGTTCCGCTTGTTGTACACAGTAATGTTCTACAAAATACTGTTAAAGAGGTTTTCATGAAATTATTTATGCAACCTTGAAGCCATAATTAGTATGCAATTTTATGTGACTTGGCAACTTATGTGATAACACAAGTGTTTGTTATAAAACATACACCTATGTAAACATGTAAGGTGATTACTTGGTAATTTAAGGATGGTTCATTCTTATGTATGATCTGTAATTTACTTTTATGAAATATTATCATACTAAAAGTTTCGACAATTTATCTACATTATAGCAAAAATTGTCCTAAAATAGATCATTATTAATTTGTTGATAATTCTGTAAACAAAATAGATTGCAGGTAATTTTTTACCTGCAATCTATTTTGTTTCGCATGTGATAATAAATACAAAGTAAATTATTCCATATCAGAATATAAATAATAATCATCCTAGGAAAATTCCATGTGGGGTCTCTATAATCTGTTAACAAATTACACAATATTTTGATAGTATTTAGGCATTGTTAGATAAGAATACTGTTGTGATAATCTTCGAAAATAGCCTAAAATATATTTATAACACAAAAGATAAATATACTAATTGTGATAATGTTCTACGATCAGGATACGCGTGTCTAAGTATAGACGGCGCTGGAGTGCGTCGCGTACGCACCGCGGTTACTGCGGGGGATGCACCGACTGCGCCGCTGTGCGCGGGCGAGTGTGCGCGAGTCAACACTGGCGCCGCATTACCTGCGGGAGCTGACTGTGTTGTGCAGGTACTAATAACTACTGCTACTCTTTAAGAATGCCAAAATGACTTTCCAATAGGCCAAACACTACCAGTCCAACGTAACTAAAGCGGGAAATGCTATCAATCTAATTTTAATGAGCCCTGGCCAGTTTACCTATTTAGTTTACAAAGATTTTTCATCTTTATATTCCACGTAGCAAGAGAGTTGAGTCCTACCCTGGCATTAAATTCTGTAAAAACTGATCCTGCAGGCAGTATCTGAATGTTTTTCTTAATTTCTTACTTTATTAAAAATAATCATCAGATTCATATTTTGTACAATCTTATAACTTTCGGTCAACGTTTTATATGTTATTTTTCTACTTGACATAATCTGTTTGTGGTAATTGTTTATGGTGATAATTGTGATAAATGTAGCGCATTGTTGTTAAGGCCGCCTGGTTGGGTTTACACAATTAACATCACAGGAAGCAGGTAATGCTCGAGACAATATCTGTATTTTAAACTAAACTGAATAATCTCCACATTGATATATTTTGTTGGGGACCAAATCTTGTTAATTCCTGTATATAGGTCATAGCCTCATAGGTAATATCTAAAAGTATAATCATGTTTTGATTCCTGAATTCATGCTGATATGTAAGTACGTCGTAACTTGTGTTGGCGCTTACCATCGGAAATCTCGCCAAGTGTAAATGACCAGAGGCCTTAGTACGAGTTTCATTTACGTTTAAAGTATTCGAAACGAGTGCGCGTTTGGCACTCTGATTGGCTGGCGCCAATGAACCAACCAATCAGAGCGCCGAACGCGTACTCCTTACGATTACTTTAACGGAAATGAAACTCGTACTAAGGCCTCAGGCTGAGAACGCAGACATGTATGAACGTCTAAATAATTTTATCGAGAGTAATGCAATTACTTAAAACGCATTTCTTGTATCTACCAGGTGGAGGACACTAGACTGGTTTCAGCATCTGAAGACGGGCAAACAGAGCTGGAGGTAGAGATCCTGAAGGCACCTGAGCCACAGCAAGATGTGAGGAATGTCGGCTTCGACATCCCCATGGGAACAGTACTCGTTGACAAAGGTTTGTTAGCTTCAAAATCATTGTTAAAAATAACAATATTTTGATATTTTTTTAAAGAAACCGTTGTTTGTTTTTTGCCGCATTTTTTATATGAATAGCTGAATTGATTTTAATGTATTTGATATTGGATAAAATGCAATTTCGACTTACAGGCCAAGTACTAGATTCAGCTAAAATCGGAATACTGGCCGGCGCTGGCTATCAAAATGTTACCGTGCGGGTACCTCCCAAGGTAAATTATCTACCACACTAGGGCAGGAGTATGTAGAACCTACAGCATGAAATACATTTTGCATGCTTTTACTTTTATTGTAAGTATTTAGTAATGCTGTCTATAATGTTAATAACTTACTTAGCTTTTGAACCTTTTTATAGGTGGCGTTACTATCGACCGGTAATGAGCTGCAAGAGCCATCGGAAGTGAAACTCAAACCGGCGCACATTCGAGACTCTAATAGGACCATGCTGAGAATGTTACTCAAGTAAATATTATTATTATTTTTTTATGGCATAAACCGGTAAACGAGCAGACGTATCACCTGATCGGCGTCGCCCATGGACACCTGGAACACCAGAGACGTTACAAGTGCGTTGCCGGCATTTTGGGGATTAGGAGTTTGAGGATCGTTGGGGATTCAGGGATTGAGGAGATTGGGAAAGGGAAGGGTAATTGGGCCTCCGGTAACCTCACTCACACAACGAAACACAACGCAAGCGTTGCTTCAAGTCGGTTTTCTGCTCGGCCGTGGTATCACTCCGGTCGAGCCGGCCCATTCGTGCCGAAGCATGGCTCTCCCACACTTACGTTTGTCACAACTATTGATAAGGAACATTAGTTTTGGTAGGTTCGTCAAGTAATTTTTTTATTTTAATATTATCAGCATGTCTGTCTACTTACACCTTTTTGTATTCGATATATCTTATAACCCTCTTACCAGTTTTCTATCATTATGTATATCTCATAGTAAACAATTATAACTCGTATGCAACTCGCTCGGTGCCAAGTATTCGCCATGACGACAGGTAAATAGGAGAGCGATATAAGTGCGATAATGTTCTATTTTCAGATACAGCGTATGTAAAAAACTTAGTACAACACGTATTTTATCGTCCTCTTTAGGTTTTGATAATGCAATACCTAGCACTTAGTTACTGCCTTAGTCAGTACCAACCACACAGAGTTCTGGGATGCGTGTGTGGTCATATTTAGGGATGTTCTCCAGTATTTTTATGATACCGTTCGATTATAATCTTTACTGTCTCTTAATATACACGCTTTCCTGTAGGATAAAAAGTGACCTATATGTTATTCTAGAGTGTTTTATGAAGTTTTCAGATTATGATCTGATCTGATCTGACCCCTGTTCCAAATCTCATCTCGATCCCTTCAGCCGTTTTGACGTGAAAGAGTAACACACACACACTCATACATCCTCACGAACTTTCACATTTATTATATTAGCTAGGCATACTTCTGAGTTTATAAGATAAAGAATGATAAGGAGTAATGTGTATTGTTCATTGTATCAGAGAGCACGGCTACGACAGCATAGACTGCGGCATCGCGCGTGACTCTCCGCCGGAGATAGTGGCAGGCATCGCTGCGGCACTCAAACTGGCTGACGTGCTCGTCTGCACCGGCGGCGTCTCCATGGGGGAGAAGGATCTGCTCAAACCTGTGCTACTCAAGGTAGGGTGATGAAGGAGGATGTCTCTCGTTGCTTCGTGTATGAGATTTGCTATTAAAATGCTTGCGTCCACTGGGCTGTTTGAGTTGGCGTCTACTGACTGTAATTCTAGGGTGGCTTAACAGCTTTGTCCCTGGTAGCTGGTTGCGAGTTTTAAACATAGGAAATCTACAACATCAATAAGAAAAATATATGTTTCCTATAGGACTTCAACGCCACCTTGCACTTTGGGCGCGTGCGCATGAAACCAGGCAAGCCGTGCACCTTCGCCACCTGCGAGTTCGAGGGCAAGAAGAAGTACATCTTTGCTTTACCTGGTTAGTTTTATTTAATAATTTGTAATACTTTAGTCGCATTTATTCGAAAATTCTCGGTTTTAATGAGATATGACGTCCCGCACCGTGTGGATATCCCCAGGTAACCCGGTGTCGGCGTACGTGTGCGCGCTCGTGTTCGTGGTGCGCGCGCTGCGGCGGGCGCAGTGCGCGCGCGCCGCCTGGCCGCGCCTGCGCCTGCGCCTGGCGCACGGCGCGCAGCTCGACGCGCGCCCCGAGTACGCGCGCGCCACGCTCGAACTGCACGCTGACAGGGACATGCCTTACGCGACTATGCTTGGCAGCCAGGTAACTTACTATATTTACCTTCACCTCATTATCTAATTCTTTTCCGTCGGCTACTAGATATAGGCTTTTCTAATAGTAAGTATGCTACTGAACTACTTTTACTTTATTTCTTTACTAAACAAGCTAATGAGCACACTTCATGAGCCCAGCAATAAAGTCAATATTCCCTAAACAGTGCAGCAGTCGGTTACTGAGTGCGTGCGGTGCTAACATACTACTGGAGCTACCGGCCGCCACGCCCTCCCTGCAGCGACTGCCCGCCGGAGCCATCGTACCAGCACTCGTCACAGGCAGGCTCGACATCTACTCTTAGAACTTAGCTTTACTATCAACCTATAGCTTTATTGTAAACCTTATTGCCACGAGACAAACTTATATTTTCTTTACCTTCTATAAAGATTGCCACGGGAAGTTCAACCTTAAGTTACGAGGAAAATAAATAATCCTTATAATGTTTCTTTGCTAAAGGGAGGTTTGAAAAGCTACTATAATATTGCCATCACCTGTTAATAATCTCAATTATCGTACTTAAAGTCTCATACATAAGGCATGTTTTTGTGCTTTATGAATCTCAAAACATGCGAATTATAATATAATAATAGATAGATAGATCAATAGATGTAAGTGAAGAATTTGTACACTATTTTTAGAAATATTATTTAAGCATGAATGAAGTGTTAATATGAGCAAGTATAGTTTTATATGACATACAATACATAGTCGAGACTGTTGAGTAAAAGAATATTACCTGTGTGGTAATTATTGTTGGTGCTGTTTGTTAGAAATGTTACTTTATCAATAAATTGTTTTAATTAAGTTGCTTTCCGTTTATTAATCAACTATTACCAGTTCTCCATTGTTAAAATAGTACATTAATTGATAACGATTGAGAACTCTACGAGAGTTCGTCAGTACATGAAAGTTTTAATTATGTACGCCTTTTGGCGTATTTAAAAAGTTTCTTTAATTTCATTTTCAACTGTTTTCTTTCCATAGTAGCTAATTTTTAAACGACTCTCAGTTTGACCTATATGTATGTTACACTTACGAGAAGGTGTTAGTATATTAAATTAGCCAACTTCAAAAAAAGAGAGCGTTTTTTTTTAAGGGGGGAAAATCATCGAATGACTGCTCCTGCCTGGGTGAGGCGGGAGGGAGTGTCAGACTCTTACTGACTAAAAACCACCCCGTTCCTTCTCCTGCACGTCGAGCCGGAGCCCCGGTAACCCGTTAGGTTCTAAAGAGAGCGTTTAAGGCGGTTTATTTAAAAGTAATTTATAAAAAAAAATATTATCAGGTGTGTTGCGGTAGAATACATCCAGAAAAAGCATTATCATTCATAAAACATCAAAATAAAAAGCAAAGTTACAAACAATATTAATTTATTTAGTCATCAAATGCGTAACTACATACAACACTGCACACTGACCCAATCACACTTCAGATCGCGAGGAATCCACTCTCAGTCTCTCTCCCATAATATGTGCTTTATAAATAGATCGCGCGTGTATTAGCACGGGGGACGAGTGTTATGTGGACATGACATGTAATGTTACGTGGATCAACCATAGTCCGCGCCAACGCGACGTGGGCGCATCGCGCACCCGTCGCGTCGACCCAAACCAAGTAGATTGTCGGTTTTAAGTTTTAACAACAATAAGTTATTTGTACAGATGAATTTATATCACATTATTATTAATAACAGACACATAAAGCAAACACCTGGGAGTGAGACTTAAATAAAATATTGGATATATTTCTCAATAAGTATAATTAACATGAAGTACTTTATAACTGGTTTGATGAATAACTTGGAACTGACTTATAGATGAAATATATCCTTTGTAAACCTGACTGTAACTACAAATTTCAGTGGTTTTGTAAAAACTTGTAGAAACAGTAAACTTGTTACACCACGCGTTGGACTTCAAAGAACCTTTTGAGGTAGTAAACCTGTCCCAAGGTCATGACGAGAAGGACGGAAGCTTCGAATATGGACCACATCACAACTCTGGAGTTTGTGCTCTCGTTGATCGCACGGTGGATGCGGTCGCGGACCTGATTTCGACAAGAAAGGTAAACTGAGTAAAATATAGAAGACACCCACTTTTTGCCAATTGTCTAAAAATTTTAGTATCAAAAAATATCAGGGATTCGCCTAAGTTCATAAGTCTTATAATTGGCTCCAGACAGCCAGCTAAAGAGGCAGTCTTTATCAATATTGCCATGTTAATAATTAATTGTGCAATTATAAATTATTTATATGAAAGGAGATGGTGTACTAGACATACCTGCATGTACTCTTGTTCATGTTTGACAGTTTTGAGTGTGGTGGCCAGCTCCTTGATCATATCTTCCAACTTGTTGTGGTTCACATCCTCTTCCTTGCCAGCAGGCTGGCCTTGAGGCGCTACTCCGATCTCCAAGTTGAACATCACAACCTGTGGAGAAAGATAATTTAAATATTTGTGGTTGCTGTACTTAGGCTTAATTTTAAATGCCATTTTGATGAGACTCTTGTGTCATGTTTGTTATGATAAAGTTTATAAATAGAAATGAAAACAATAATATGGGTGATAATTTGCAATGCATATTGATTGTATCATGTACTTTATAATTGTCGTGTCGCGGGTTCGATTCACGCACAGAACAACTCTTTGTGTGATTCTCAAATTGTTGTTTCGGGTCTGGGTGTTATGTGTATGTGAACTTGTATGTTTACCCACGACACAGGAGAAAATCCTAGTGTGAGACAATGTTTAAAACAAAATATGTTAAAGTTCGACTCAAATATTGGTAACTAGCATTATTATATTTTATTCAACTGTTTTCATTAAAAACAACATAGTTGATCTAAACTTTTTCATTTAGGTTTAGCTGCATAACTTTCTATAATATGCACATACCAAGTAAATGAGAGAATAATACTGCAACTGGCAATTAATGCTAAATAATTATAACTACTTGAGCTACTCAGGTAACCGATTAATGTCTGATGATTCATGTTTTCCATTCAATTTAAAAAACTGTTTTTTGTTTGTATGTTATGTTTTAAAAATAGTTTAAAAGCTTATGAGAACTGCTTATCTTTATATTACAGGTGCAAGACCTAACTACAACCCAATATATCCTGAAATGCTTATTAATATTGTTTCTAAAATCATACTAGAACAGCACAAACCTTAGGTGTCATGGTGGACATCTTATTACTGAAGCAGTAGGTGTATCTACCAGACGTGGGGGCTGAGAATGTGTACATTCCTGATGACTCCCGCTCTCCCTTGTATATCACGGCACCATCAGGGCCTGTGATTGTTACGTCTATGTCTAGGAAACCACCTTCTGCTATCTCAAATGTCAGACCTGGAAAACAAAAACAGTATGGGTATTGTAATTTCTATTTTATTTTGAAAAGCTTTTATTTGACTTGCAATGTATGTATTTTTGTGAAGTGGAATCTTGCATATCTTGCATAAATAGTTTATTAGTAGTGAATAAAATTGGTGTTTATTTGTACTAATTTGGATTTTACTAAACTTCAAGTAGTAAAATTTTTTTTAAGTATTTTTAATCGTGTTTATTTAAAAGTCATACCTAAAATGGATCAAGGAGTATCAGCTGCATTCTCTTATTAGAGAATGTAAGTCTACTAATAATTAGGTTATAAGTAAAATCAATTGCAAGATTTATCTAACGACTGATATATAGAGAAAGGTGGGTTTGTTAAAGATAACTGATAACATGACTTGTCGCCGGAATAAAGATTCTTTATCACCGGTGTTATACATTGCATAGAAACTGTGTAAAATAAGTTCAAAGATTACGCTTTGAAATCAAACGAAAGCATAGTTGGAGTGACAAATTACGAAAAAATTTATCTCTAGGTCTAAATAAACGGTATCAAATTAATAAAACCTTACCCATTTTAGTATCTGCCTCAACATTTTCGAAAAAGCACTCCTCGGCATGGGCATCGACTGTGATGGTATAACAGTTTCCTGTGTGCAGTAAAGTTGCCGCTAATAATAAGGTAAAACAAAGCGATCTCCAAGAACTTTTCATTTTGTTAAATAGAAATTAATTTGCCCTAAAATATAACTTTAATTCAAAAGAAGAACATACGCTTGTTTTCCCTACGTGAAAGCCACGTAATTTGACAACTGACAACATGACAAGTTGATATTTTTTGACGTCTGTAATGTTGCGTTCAAGATATTAGAGCACTGCTAAAATTCCTTAAAATGTAATAAAAGTTTATATCGAGTTTCTGATCATTAATTATATACGTATATTCACATTTTAATATATTCGTTTTTACAAATCGTAGGTACATGATTCGTTATTTTATTATTTATTTAACCTTCAAAAATTTGTTTTTGCTACTCACCAAGAGATGTCACTGTTTTGCGTTAGTGATGATTATGAATTGAAGTGTCGTCAATTTTTAATTGAACAATATGTCTTTTCAATCGCTATCAAAAGTTTCATCATATAGCTTAACCCTAAGGAGAATTTATTGAACTGAAAGAATTTCGAGATCCTTACCCCTTGAGCGCCTCAGAAGCGCTTGCGGTCACTCGATCAATGAGACAGCTGGTGGCGTATTAAGCCAGAGTGGTTCCGTTAAGGGAACGAGATCTCGCTAGACGACTTGTATAGTATGGATTTAAAAAAAAATAATACTATCTTTAATATATGTAGGTATACTCGGATTTTAGCAAGTCATTTCATATTGTTATTCTCAATTGCAGTCGGCTCTACAATTTTCCATAGGTACTCGGTCCAGTCTCTGTACCTGGTACTGCTAGTACCAGCCTACTCAATGTAAACAAAAAAGCGTTAATGTATTAGCTATATGAAGGAGGTGCTAAATGTGACGTCTGGCTGTACGATAACTGAATTAATTTATTTTGGACACGTTACTTTCAAAGGGATTTAAAAATAAACGGTTAAAGTAACGTAGGGACCTATAATTTAATGCAAATTTACTACCTTCTATACTCTGACTGATTCAGAAGCCTAGGCAGCTAACTTAGATATTATCTTCAGCTTTTGCTACCTACTTTGAATCATGTAAGTTCACTTCTCTTCTTATTCGTCTCATTACCATAAGATCTAGGACGGTCAGCGAATATTTCATTCATAAATCCAATAAACATTCAATTTTAATATAATATACCACAAATTAAAATTCACGATTTATCAGTTTGACACAATTATTTTTTAGCAAATAAATAAACCTACTTAAGTATATTTAATGATTTATTTATAGTTAGACCAACATTACTTAATAGATAATAGTTACATATGTCAAAAAATGCGGTTCAAGTAGGTATCACAAGTACCTGCATACTACATAGACTAATTAACGTAATCATAAAAGCCATTATTGTATTTATTTAAATATGTAAAATGGGTCGCAGGTGTGATATTTAACAAACCACACGTTATTTTATCATGTTAAAACTTAAACACA